TATTTCCCTCTCCCTTTCCCTGTATTCCGACTCGTTACTTCTGCGCATTCTCATCGCTGTCGCATTAGCGGTTCCTTCTCTTTGCCTGTAGTCTTGAGCCCCGTGTTGTAAGCGCATGCACTCCGCTGTTCTCCGTGCCTCTGCTTCTCTGTAAGCAGGGTCGGCTCTTGCGGCACGTTTTGCAGCCGCTTCCCTTGCCCGTTCGATCTCCCGAAACGTTGCCTGCTCCGATGTGCTCAGTGATAGGAAACCTGCAATATTTGCAATTTCAGTTTCGACAACTACGGTATCGCATGTAAGAGATGAAGTAATAAAATCGCAGTTTTCCTCGTTCTTACCTGAGGAACTCTGATAAGCGGAGCCGCTTGTGCTTGGCCCTGGGTTGTCCAGTTCTGCTGTTGTTTCCGGAAGGGTTCTCTCCAGCACTTGACCATGTTCCGGTTGGCTGTGGCCGTCCAGCTCCTGCTGCAGGCCCGATTGCGACAGTCGGTGTCGGCGCTTCCGTTCAGCATCGAGCTGCCGGCTTCTTTCTTTGCTTGCTTTCCTTTCTGCTTCACTTAACCTCCTTCGAGGCATGATGTCAAATGCTTCGCATTTAATTGAATCTAAATCATTGAATGCCATGTAAATGAGACATATTGCGGAGTGGGTGCACGCGACGAGAGAGACTCCTTAATGGTGGTGTGCCTGCTGCTTTGAAGGAATTAATGACTGTGCTTGAGTTGTGATAGTGGACGACGGAAATCGGCTTTTTCCCAATTTCGTAGGAGATTTTTCTAAATGAGATTATTGTGAGCAGCGTCCATTACAGGAGTTCGCTGGTGCAGTTGGGTGGTAATGTGTGACAGTTTTGTTAAGCTTCGACTACTGCTGTCTAGTATTGCTATCCTAAGGGAATGGAAGAGAAGCGCAGCGCTGAAAAGTATCAGCCGCTAAGCTTCTGAAATCTAGGGGTCCCTCCGAGTGCAAAGTGAAGAGTTAGTTGTCGGCTTGCGCCAAAAA